CGGAGCAAGAATGCACAAAAAGTGCGACTCGGCTCACTCCGACTGCCGTTCATTCCCCAAATTTGAATTCCATCCCAGCCAATCCCGGCATCCACTCCAGCCAATCCAGCCAATCAAAATTCGTGTTGCTTCTCGCTACAGCAAACAATCCCCCCTCCAACAATACAGGCCGGGTCGTGTCGACGCGGATCCAGGTCCTCCTGCTCTGGTCACATTCCCTTGCATTGCAGAAGCCTTTCGCGTCGCTTGCGGCGGAGCCTCAGCAAACTCTTACCAGCCTCGCTGTAAATAGTGTCGCACGCACTCCTTGTATACATCGTATTTGAGTCTTGAACCTCGTGCCTCGCAGACATCCATCGCGACTCCAACCTTACACTTCGCACTCCCACTTCACTTAGAACCTTCAAACGCGACTCAATCATAAAAAACCGATCAACCAAGTAAAGATCGCCCTCCCGATCCCACTCGTCTTCGCCTTTCACCCGACACTGACGACGAAGTCCAGGGAAATTACGCATATCTGCTTTCGACATCGCCACTACCGCAACGCTCCACGTCTCGTTGGCTGAGAAGTGCCATGGCCGCGTATATGGACTATCAGTAGTACTCCAGCTGGTGCCCGGACCGCTACGACGCAGATGAATGTAAGCCAGCTTTTCCGTCAAGCATCTAGGAATACCCTCACTGTCAATTCTTTCCAGGTTGTCTGACTTCACCTGTAGTGGCACGTGAAAACGTGCAGTGTTGCGTCGCGTTATAGCATCTGCCAGATAACTTGGGTCCACTCACGATCATCGTGCATCTGCCATGATCATGACGTGACGATGCAGGGTATGAAGCCATGGACCAGCAATACGCCATCGACACATCATCATCATGCTCAGGATCATCAACAACGGCGGCATCATCAACCTATCACGCCAACGGCGGCGGGGGTCCCGTGTCGACGATGCAAACTTTGCGTCATAACTACTACAATCCCGCTTCGACTACCACCACCACCGGCGGTCGAACGTCGACTATGATGTCGCTGAACGCGGCGCCAAACATGATGATGACGGTTTGCGAGGACCAGCCGCCATTTGCTTCAACCGCCGCCGCTGCGTCCGTTCCGCGGGCCTTGATGCAGGCGGTACCGATGACGAGCGGTGGTACTAGCCCCGCTGAAGCTGGTAACACAAGTGGGAGGGCGAATGCAGCGACCAGGATGATGATGATGATGCCGGCTGCAGCCGCGGACGAGGAAGCTGCGAAACTCTCAAGCCCCTTCTACTGGCGAGGTAGGCTGGACTGCACCTCTAAGTTACTTGTCAATTCTCGCAATTCCGTCCTTGTCAGCTCGTCGCCAGCGCTGGTTCATGTCTCTCAACGCGTTCCATAATGTCGCACACCGCGTATCTCGCCGCGTCGAATTGTGCCTCGCGCCGCGTCTCACCCGCCGCGTACAAATGAGTCTCGCGCCGCGTCTCACCCGCCGCGTCCAATTGTGTATCTTGCGCCGCGTTTCACTCGCCGCGTCCAATTGTGTCTCTCGCTGTGTCCAATCATGGCATTAATCCGTCAACGTCCGACGCTGTTGTCCTCCCACCCTGCAGAGCTGGAGGCATCATGCAGGAAGCTGGACGCGGCCAACATCCGCATCACAGAGCTCGACATCACGTGCCTCGGCAGCCCTACCACCAGCGACTCCGCATTTGACGCCGATGCTGACGGTGGTTTTGGTAGCAGCGGCAGCGGTGGCGGCGGTGGCAGTGGCCGCGGCGGCAACGGGTACAAATCGCATGTGCAAGTGCGCTACGGAATCACGTGCGAGCCCGCAGATACCTCTTCCATCTCCGTTGGACCCGCTTTCAACGGTGGTGTTGGCGGTGCTACGGTTGGTGACGTCGGAATGATGGCTCGTCAGACCCACGGAAGTCAGCCCCGGCACCCCACGCATATCTATGGCTTCCCTCCTGTGCATCATAAGCTCCCTCCTGCAGCCGTTCACCACATGCCGCTGCCATCCTCTGTGCACGTGCGAAAGGCTCAAGAAGTCAACACTGTCAATGACAGGCAGCATATCCACGTTCACAGTGCTGCAACCAGCAGCTTTAAAGGCGGCGGCGACCGCAGCAGAGGCAACGGAGCTACTACTGCTTCAAGTGGGCACGGCTCCTTCGCTCGTCCGCGCTCTGCATCCACAATTGCTGCGCTGTCCTCGATACTTGGGGGTTCCGGGACAAGGCTGGAAGGTGGTGGTGGCTCGGGGGCATTCTCTCTTCAGCCATCCAGCGGGTCCGGCACCACAGGCTCGGCCTCAGATTCGGACCCAGTGTCAGGATGGAGGTTTGGGCTGTCACCTTCTCGAGTCGCTCCAACTACCAGCATTGTGGTTCCACCTGGTACTGATGACTCTGTGAATTTGGCTGTTTTGCCTGAGTCGGAGGGTAGTGACAAGGCTGCAAGCAGTGACAGCAGCGATAGTGTTCCAGTATCCTGCAGAAGCTCCAGCAACAGCAGCAGCAACGCCACTGACACTAACAGCACTGCAGACGTCGCCGATGAGGCAGGCATGGAGAACAATGACAACACCAAGACTGCTGGCACTGGCAAGCCCAGGGTCCATGAAACCAGTCCAGATACAAACAGCAAGGTTTCTAATAGCAGGTACAGCAGCACCCAAGGTCTCGGCAACACCACCAATGGTAAGTCGTTTTCTCGCGTCATGAGGGCGTTTGCAGACCGATGCCAGCGAGCCTTCACAATTACACCAGGAAGAGGCCGTGCTCTGAGAATGACTGCAGCAGTACAGCACCGCAGGTGCAATAGTAATGAGAGGCTAGACCAGCTTCACATGGCTATGTAGGAGCAGAAGTTATATAGAGGTGTGTCATTAAATGTGTACTGTATGCATGCCTCCAATGTGGAGCCTTCTCCTAAAAACTGTTTCTCTCACTGCACAACTATTTCTGGTAGAAACTGTGGTACCGTATGTAGGATTAATGTGTTGTGGGTCAGAGTGTGCAATATTTACAGGTGTGCCTTTCCATTTCTTGACGGATGACGACGACCATTGAAAATCGCGTTACACGTCGTGGCACACCACCTGATTATGGTTTTAGCGAACCCAATACTCTACTTCGAGCAAGCGGGTTACCGACAGCTGTTTAGCACTGCTATCTTGGGGTTCCGCGGGCGCGACGATTTTCTCAGTTGTGGTTCCGCGACGCGCATTCTGAATCCTGATCAGGTGAACATCCGCATGACGTTTTGCAGATGATCAAGTTTTTGGTTTTTGGTGAATCCCAACCAACCAACCAAGCCAGCCCTGCAATTCGGCCTGCCCGACCGAACCGAACCGAGCTTCGAGAGCTTCGCTTTTTCACCCGTCACCCACCACCAAACTCGAAATCCATCATGCACTCGCATTCACCACTACGTCATCGTGCCCCATGATCCATAGCTTCTGGGGGACCTGGGAGGCGGGGACAATCCACCACCACCACATAGGCGACGGCTGCGCGAGCCCAACCACATGATCCACCAGGGCAATACCTGACCAGCCCAGTCACACATGTCCGCAAGATGAATGCGAACCACATCACCCCCACCGGACCTACTGGTTTGGAACGAGTCGGAATTTGCCTGACAAGATCTGGCACAAGCCCTGGATAATATCCCGTTGAAGCTAGTTACTTACGTGACCCGGTTGTGACACGGACAAAGAAAAGCACAGAAAGGGAAAAAACCTGACCTGGTAGTACATGCTGAGAATTACGCGCACTTGACCAAAATGACAAGTGGCATCTAAATAACCTAGCCCTCCAAACTCACATTGTTCAAATTTGAAGCCCACGGTCACCACCATGAATTCTGCTTCATACCTATGTGCTGGGATCCGAACGAATGCATCCATGCATCAAACAGCGTGATCCACCCACACCCATCCGCACCACATCATCCGAACTCCCTGAACGCAGATTTCCTTCCGAACCTCTCTGACTCCCCGTTTTCCAGAGATTTCACCATATGCCATGCCATGGCCTCCAGCTTCAGTGTGCGCTTCTGGCACCTCAACATCCTAGGAATGGGAAACGCCGTACCCCCACCTGATCTAGTCTTGAACTTGATCGATCAGGTCGGAATAAGAGGTGGGTCTCATCTCATGCGTGTTATGAACTCATTAGTTTCATAGTTCTCGGAAAGAAGTGGTGATGAACTAACTAGTCTTGCACTTTGTCCAATTCTGACCAGAGATTGTAGTGTTTGCTATTGCGCAGCTAGTACTGCTTAGTGGATATCGTCGAAGCCGCGCCGCTAATCTCACACCGCAAGTTGGAGATTCGTGTCCCGCGTAGCCATTTCTGGCCGTAGCTGTGCGTCCATACTCTTTTCTCGACATCAGTCAAATCATGTCAGCACCAGATTATCAGTACCATGACCAACCACATCCAAGTCAGTATCAAGCCCATGCTCAACCGATCCAGCAGCAGCAACAGCAGCAGCAGCCATACACAGATCAGTCGGCCCAGCAGGCTGGTTATCAGCCATCATCAAATCAGGCGTATCAACAGAACTACCAAAACCAGCAACAGCTAGCGACGGATCAATCACAAGCGCGTGCCGTCGAGCATCGGCAACAGAATCAGCACGAGTACCCACAGCAACAACAGCAGTACCAGCAGCAACCACAGCAACAACAACCATACCGGCAGGACCAGCCACACCAGCATCAACAGCCTTACCAGCAACAGCAGCAACCGCAGCAACAGGAGTCGTATCAGCAGCAGCAATATCAGCAGCAGCAGTATCAAACGTCAGCTCCAGACTACTCGCAACAGCAACGCTACCAGCAGCCAGAGAGCCAATCCCAGCCTTACCAGGAACAGACCGTCCAGGCAACGCAGTACGCTCCGCAGCAGCAGCAGCAGCAGCAGCCGGCAACTCCGCAGCAGCAGCAGCAAGGAGAGCCTCCACAGGAAGATGGAGCAGTGCCGGTCCAGCTGAGTCCGGAGCAGATGGCGGAGCTATTGGAGGAAATGGCTCGCTTGGACACCATGAAAGTCATTCTAGAACCAGGGATACTTCTTTCCGATCAAGGAACGATTCTCAATCTAACGTAGGTTTCACTCTTCTCGTCAGATTTTTTCGTCGTCGGCCGCTTCGTTGCTGGATCGATGCGTTTGCTACCTCTGATCTGATCCAAACCGTGTGGATTAATCCGCAGCGTTCTTCCACCACGCGCAAACTCCCATGACCCCGGCCTTTTCTTGTGAATCTGAGTTATTAGCTGTTCCTTATGCTGCTGTTTCATTAAGACTCTTGATTTGGAATCTATCTATCCTTTCTCTCCGGAACCTGCGCTCTCCTCGTTCCCCCAGTCCCTTCTTTTCCCCACCTTTCCCGTTACTCTTCCGCATCCAGCCCTCACTCGTTTTCCGTACCGATCTCTCTTCCGCAAATTCCACCATGCCGTGCGGGTGCTTCCATCGTTCGTTTCCTCCCCTTAATTACGCCCTGAATTGTCCCTCCCTCTTCAGCTCTATTCGCGCCAAGGCCACTTCGACCGCATACACCCTTCCCGACATGCTTGCGGATCTGAATTCCATATGCGAGCCCTTTCTGAGCCGCGGACCCGAGTACGCGGAGTATGGGAAGAAGTTTCTGGAGAACGCGAACAACGCGATCGTGGAAGCCGTGCAACGCGCGCAGATGCTGGCCGCTGGATACACTCTAGAACAGGTGCGGCAAATCCAGCAGCAGCAGCAGGCTCAGCCGCAGCAGCAGCAGGCGCAGGCGCAGCCGCAATATCAGCAACAGCAGGATCCGAGCAACGCGTACCAGCAGCATCAACAACAGCAGGGCACGCAAGCGGGGCCCGCACAGATTAGCATGTACTCACAGCGGCAGCCGCAGCAGCCGCTGCAGCGGCGGCGGCAGCAAGGCGTTCAACCGCCAGCAGGTGCAGCCGGGACCAGCCAAGGCGAGAATGGCTGGCTTGAGCTTGTGGGGGAGGAAGGCGTGGGGGAGAGCGGGGACGTTGCACCCCCGGCAGTGAATGTCGCGACGAGCAATGGAGGGCTGTCCGCCTCCAGTGCGCGCATGGGCCAGAGCAATCTCACAGGCGCCAGTAGCGGCTCCCGGGGGGGAATTGGCGGCGGGGGGGCAGGAGGCGGAGTGTCATCCGGGAAAGGCTCGAAAGGGGGGAGTTTTGGGGAGAGAAAGCCAGACGCACAGAGGGCGAGGGTGGTCGGGCGGCGGTGTGAGGTGTGCGCGGTGATTAAGAAGGCTGGGTGTGGCACAGACGCGGCTCACTTCAGGTGCCTGAAGCGCAAGAAGCCGGAAGCTGTTCCCGAGATTGAGAAAAACCTGGTGCGGCTGGGAGACGTGGGGGACGAGGAGAGGGTGACGGTGTGGAACCCTGCAGAGGGGAGGAAGCTGAGCGGACAGGCGGCACCTATGATGAAGAACCTGGCGGGATGGCTGGCGAACCATCCTGGCTGGGAAGCTCATCCGAAGGGCGCTGTGGTCCCTAGTAACAAGTAAGCTATGTAGGGAGTATGTTGGTTTGGGCTTGTCCTGAAACACCTAGACTCCGTTTCCCCCTCCCCCCCCCCCCCCCCCCTGCCTCGTGCGCGCCCACGCACACACTCATGCACAGTGTGATACAACTGCGCACATGCATCCAGTGAGTCCGTGTGATGTGTTAGACAGGGTTTAGAGGAAGGACAGCACAGGATGATGAGCGCATTCTTATCCCTTCCCCCGTCCCCCTCCCTTCCCTCTGTGTGTGTGTGTGTGTGTGTGTGTGTGTGTGTGTGTGTGTGTGTGTGTGTGCGTGCGTGTGTGTGCGCGCGTGTGTGTGTGTGTGGTTGGGTGTGTGTATGTGTATACTTTATGTGTGTGTGGTGCGAGTGGGTGGTGCGGTGTGGTGTGTTGTCGGAGCAGGAAGCTGAAGGATGCTTCTTCTGATCGAACTGGAGGCTCGCACGACTCTCTAGGGAGAATGGGGCAGCATGGTCAACAGCTCAATTCGCAAAAACCTCAGTTCCATAGACCACAGCAGCAGCAGCAGCAGCAGCAGCAGCTTCAGCAGCAAAGGCAGTATCCACCTCAGCAACATTCACATGGGCAATACCAGCAGCAGCACCAGCAGCATCAGCAGCAGTTTCAGCAGCAGGTGAAGCAGCAGCAGCCACCACTCCCTCCACAGCAGCGGCACCAGCAATATCAACAGCAGCAACACCAATATCAGGAGCAGCCACAGCAACAACACCAATATCAGCAGCAGCAACCACAGCACTATGAGCAGCAGCCGCAACAGCCATATGAACAGCAGCGGCAACAGCAATTTCAGCCAGTACAGCAGGAGCAAGCACAGGCTCAAACCCCCCACCAGATCCAGCAGCAGCAGCAACAAGGCATGCATCCCCAGCATCCTGTCAGCCACCATCAGCCACAGCAGCCAGCAATTGCAGCCTCCAATCTGCAACAGGTCTCTAATTTTTAGATTTGCCTGAGTGGTTTGGCCTCACAGTGATGTTTAGGGCCCATCGCATCAGCCAGCCTCATTGCATCCTGTCCAAATAGCGGGCAGTTTTGCTGAATGATGTAAATGGATAGTGAATACTTGCCAAGGCAACCTAGCTGGTCTTGATGTATTCAAAGGGCATCAGGTGGTGATGATCCGTAGCGTTGTAATGCGCCTGATACGAAATTCTTTATTCCATCTGTCATTATTGGAAGAGCTCTAGCCTCTGGGATCTGAAGTGTACCATCGGATAAGCTTCTCCACCTTGCTCAACCCATTTTCACATCCGTGATCGAATGCCCCCCAGATTCCTCCGAACCCAAACCATGAGCAACCATGAACCCCAGGGGCCAAACGAATCAGGGCCCAGAACTCATCTATAGGGAACATCGAATCTGGATTTGAATCCATCAGCCAGTCTGCGGCGCCAACGGAAGTCGTCAGATCAGTAGTACTTCCTCCCTGCTCCGTCAACACCTGTGCTTGTGCTGACCTCATTTCCGCCCACGCGAGCTGCACCTGCCTCATTGCTGGTTGCCAGCAGTGCATCTCTTCTGAGCCTGTCGCCGGACGTTGTTAATCGAAGCGAATGTGTTGCTTCGTTTGATCTTCGAAAAGCTGGATTTGAAAACGAGAATGCGCCATATTACATGCGAAGAACGTCGCTGGTGCGCTGAAGGCCGCCATTATTGAGGTCGCAGAGTGCAAGTTCTTGCTTCGCCCATCCGGTTCGATTGGAATCTCAATCACAAGAGCAAGAAAATCAGATCCAATGGCGCCACTCCTACTTTATCCTAGATCTCCGCGTTTCCCTTCACAATCGTCGCGTCTCGACGTCTGGGCTTCCTCGTTTCGTGCGTCTTATCCAATCATGCCAGTTCTCATCAGCATCTTATTCTGTCTAGTTCCTCACCCGGCCGTCACAGCTGCATTAACCACACAGTCAAGTCAGCCGGCTAACCGACCGGCTCCCAGCATCTGCCTAGCCGTTGACGGCGTGAGCGCAGCGGACTTGACGCGAGAATGGGAAGGATCCGGTGACGTCAGCGACGCGGATCAGCAGCAGCAGCAGCGGGAGAAATGGCAGCAAGAACAGGAGTTCCTTAAGACCCTTGTCCGCAGCGGTGCTGCTGCTGGTTGCCCTGAAAAGGCCACTAGCAGGAGCAGTCGCCCAAGTAGCGGCAGCAGCAGCAGCAGCAGCACCAGCACCATCAACGAGACGACGACTTTCGACGACGTCGCGGACCAATGGTGGTGCAGCGGCGACGAGTTTAACGAGTTCATATCGTACCTTGTCGCAAATGGGGCTAAGGAAGTAAGAACGATACTTCAGCTCACCGATCTGTCCTCTGCCGTTGCAGTGTGCTTTTGAGAATTCTCAAAAGCACCCTACTTGTCCTCTGCTCTTGCCCGTTGCTCTTTCGTCGTATTTCTGCCCGATTAGGCCGGCATACCACACTCCTCTTCCCCCTTCTCCCTCGCCTCAATCCGTTCCTTCATTCTTCACGCTTCTTTCCTGTCACCCATTCCCCTCACCTCTTCCCCCTCCCCCCGCTCCCCCACCGCCTTGCAGCTCACGGGTCCTTCCAGAAAGGTGCGGGTCACATGGGGAGAAGGATCAGGGGAGAATGAGGAAGGGCAAGCGGCGGAAGGGGGAGAGGAGAGCAGGGGCGAGAGGGGGATTCGCGCAGCGCGCGATTTGGCTCGAGGAGAGGTGATCGCGACCATTCGTTTCTCGGCTGCGCTGGTGCAAGGAGAGAGCGACCCCCTTCCGTACCCTGATGCGCCGTGGACTGTGCACCTGGCAGCCAAGCTCTTGCGGGAATTCAGCAAGGTGAGGAAAATCCCGATTTAAATTGAATCAAGTTCCGGGATTAGCACAGTGAGGTGGAGGAGGCGAGTCAGGTTAATCTCCCTTCAAGCTGTGCTTGCCCCTCGGTTCTTACATGGGGGGCGTTTGCAACTCAATTGCCATGAGGGTACCAAATCTCTCTCCTTCCAAATGAGAAGCACGTGCAACCTCACCTCCTTCGCTTTCTCCTAAACCCCGTGTGTCCTCCCTTCCCCCTTCTCCTCCCGCACGTCACCTCCGGCCTCCCTTCTCCCCACCCCTTCCCGCCCCTCGTTCCGCCCACCCTTCCCCTCTACACCTGGTTTCCCCCCATTCCCTCCCCTCGCACGCGCAGGGCAGCGGAGGCAAGGCATGGCCGTACCTGCGGTGCTTGCCTCGGTGGGCGGGGCTGCCGTGGCTGGGACTGAGGGAGGGCGAGGAGTGGGAGAGGGAAATTCAGCATGAGGGCACAGTGGGGCGCATGAGATCCATGCTGGATGAGGCACGGCTGCAGTGGCAGATGTGCCGCCAGGAGGAGAGCGAAAGGGAGAGGGAGAGGATCGAAAAGTCTAGTGCTGGTAGTGGTGCTGCTGCTGCTGGTGTTGCTGATGGGGCAGTAAGCGGGGAGTGGCAGTGGGAGGGCGGTATAGCACATGCGACGTGGCCGGAGTTTGCATGGGCTTTGACCATGGTGTTCACGCATGCATACTCGCTGCCTCGCGTGGATGGGTAGGTGGATGGAGAATTGGCGGGTGGGTGGGTGGAAGGGTGGCTTTGTGGGCGTTGTTGTGCGTGTGTGGGTATGTGGGTGTGTGGGTGTGTGGGTGTGTGGGTGTGTGGGTGTGTGGGTATGTGGGTGTGTGGTTGTGTGGGTGTGAGGAGATGTGGGTGTTGTGGGTGCATGAGTACAAATTAGGCACCGAGAAAAATGATCAAATAGGCGTCGATGTGCAATGCGCATATATCCGCATGTCACTGTGCCCGTTTGCTCTCTCGTTTTCGCTCCTTCCTCCCCCGACTCCTTCCCCACTCGCCCCCTTCCTCCCTCCCCACTCCCCACTCTCCCCTTCCTTCCTCCTTCCCCCCTCCACGTCCTCCGCCTCCCTCCCTCCCTGTTCTCTTCCTCCAGTTTTCACTATTCCACAACTCCAAATGAATTCCTTTTGATTCACCCCTCTTTATGGGATGGATGTGTGTGTGTGTGTGTGTGTGGTGGTGGTGGAATGGGGGGTGTGGGTGAGCGGGTGGGTGGGTGGGGGGTTGCGTATGTGTGTGTGTGCATTTATGTGTTGCATGTGTGTGTCCCCTTGCATGTGTGTGTGTGTGTGCTTTTCCATGCATGTGCACATGGCCACCAAAACAGCACCGACGCCCTCATGCGAATGTTCCTCCCGGTAGCTGACCTGCTCAACCACGACCCCCACAAGGTACGAGATCTTGTTCTTTTGAGTCGCCTCAAGCGTCCTCCCTCTAGCCGACCTACTCACAACCACGACCCCCACAGGGTGCGACATATGATCATGCAAGCAGCACATGCTGCATCCCCAACACAGCAGCAGTGCAGCACCTCCCAGCCACCACACCCTTTCCTTTCACACCACCCAAACATGGTATACCAGCCAGCATGGTGCCTCATTCGCCAAATCCCCCCTTCCCCTGCACCCCAAAGGCTCTTTTACCTATTCCCACGTCGCCCACCCCCCACGCAATTCCCGCCGTCCCCCAACCTCCATCCCCCAACCTCCATCCCCCATCCGCCATGCCCCACCACCCGTCCGCCCCCCCCACAGGCGAACGTGGACTGGTACTCACAAGGGCTGCATGAGGACCGACTGGAGCTGGTGGCTCTGAACCCCAAAGCGTGCAGCTCACCCCTCGGGCAGACTACTTGAGAATCGACTCAAAGCCATTCCCCACCCCACCCACCCACCCCAACTCGCAATCTACCCTCTATGCATCCCCCGCACCCAGGCGAACGTGGACTGGTACTCACAGGGGCTGCATGAGGACCGACTGGAGCTGGTGGCTCTGAACCCCATAGCGCGCGGAGCGCCCCTCGTGGCAGACTATGGGCAGTACAGCTCCGACCACTTCCTGCTCACCTACGGATTCGTGCCGCTCGAAAACGCTGCGGACAGGGGGGACGTGTTTCAAGATATGACTCAGGCCGTGACCTGGTACCTCCAGAGGTGCGTTGGTTGAGGCGCCTCAAAAACCACTTCCTGCTCACCTATTGCTCGTGCCGCTCGAAAACGCTGCAGACAGGGTGGACGTGTTTCAAGATATGACCCAGGCCGTGACCTGGTACCTCCAGAGGTGCGTTGCAGAGGGGGTTTGATAAGTTGCGATGAGTCTGTTTTTGAGGCGCGTCAGAAACAGATGTGTTTCAGAACATGACTCAGGCCGTGACCTGGTACCTGGAGAGGTGCGTTGATTGAGGCGATTTTTGAGGCGCCTCGAAAACGCTGTAGACAGGGTGGATGTGTTTCAGAACATGACTCAGGCCGTGACCTGGTACCTCCAGAGGTGCGTTGCAAGGGGGTGTGCTGTGCGACGTGGCTTGGTGGTGCACGTGAGATGAACTGCAATGGTGATTCCTGAGTTGACTTGCCCTCCTGCTGCTCTTGCATGCTCCTCAGCTCTGCAACCCATTCTCATCCCCACCACCGCCTCCATCCCTCTCAGTCCCACTCCTCTCTCCCAGACTCCCACATAGAATACGCGGGTAGTAAAAGCTCTTCTTTTCCCGTCTCCCCCCCACAATTTTTCCCCGTGAGCCACCAGGTACTACCAAACGCGCTCAGGCACCATGCACTCGTTCCCTCCAACCGACGACGAGTTTCAGGAGTATGTTCAGGTGGCTTTGGAAGGAGCTGAGGTGGAGCGCAGCAGAGTAACCCCAGAGGGTGGAAGCAGCACGCATGGGGATGGGAAAGCAGACGAGGAAGGGGACGGGGATGAGGGTCCGGACGATCCCACAGGAGCAGCAGCGCATGACACGCCTATGTATGTGTACCGGGAAGCAAGGGTGGATGCACGGCTGCTGGGGGCCTTTGCAGCGGTGCAGCGGTGGCTGGAGGGGGTGGATTGGGAGGACAGTGAGGAGGAGTGGGTGATGGATGTGGATAATGCTCTCGTTGCTGTGGGCAGGCGGTGCCGCGAGCTCCTTGACGCCTTCCCCACGTCGCTTGTGCGGGACCGAGGTGCGCTGTGGCAGCATCTGCGGTGCTCCCAGCAGCAGGGGAAGAGGCACGGGGAAGGGGGAGAGAGGGCGAGTGGGGAGGGGGCAGGTGTGCAAGGGATGGAAGCGGGGTCTGGGGAAGTGGTGGGTGACTCCTCTTCCTGTTCCTCTGCGCATTCCTCCTGCTCTTCCTCCTCCCACTGCGCCTCATCCATGTCTTGCCCTGCTCAAGGCGCAGCATCATGGGAAGAGTGTGCCTCGTCCCGGCTCTTGTCCCCCGTACAAGCCACGGCAGTGCGGTTTAGAATAGTCGTGAAGGAGATGCTTGAAGCTGTGGCCGATTCTGCCCCTAAAGCCTTTGAGGAGAGGCAGAGAGTAAGACCTGCGCAGGCAGAGGAAGCGGAGGAGGGCACTGCCGAGGCTTGAGGAATGCTGGTTGGGATGTGCCTGACGTTACAGTCCAGTTATTGTTAACCAGAATCTATACCATTTCAGGTCATGCCTTAGTTCCTGTCCTTGATCAGTCTCAGTAGTAATTGAGATGTTTTTTAGTCAAGGTCCCAGGCTGTGACCAAACACGAGAGCTCAGGCTACTGTTACCGTATGTGACGAACACCCTTCATCGTTACAGCACCAGCCTCAGGGTTGGTTGGGAAGCTATAAAATCTGCCAGTTGCTCTGTTGCTGCATTCTCCACCACTTCCGCTCAGTGGCCAGCCAGCCACCATCCATCCATGTCTGCACGCACAGGTGTCATGCCACAACCACCAACCAACGAACCAATCAACCAAGGGCCTCAGGTTGGTGTTGGGCTAATCCGGAAAATCAGAGTTGGTACAAAATATTACGCCGAAAATTAGACAAGAAATCCCATTCTGCACTACAAATCTTCTAAAATTTGGTGTAAAAAATGGCTGGAGAGTCAGCCTCGGTCGTGGGAAAAAAAAAGAGAATAAATGAATGAAAGCAAAAAAAAAGGAAGAAAATAAATCAGCCATAAGTTTGCTGGCTTTTGAGGCCAGCCTACAAGTCTACTAACCATGTAGGTCTATATGTAGGAACATGAGTGGTCAGATTTTATGTACTTGTATGGTGAATCTATTTTTGTTATTCTTTATCGAGACTTCTGTTCATGACTGCACGAAGCTATCTCGTGCGTTGGATGTCCAGCCTCGGTCTGGAATTCCACTGTCCCGAACGTGATCCGTACCTGTAGATTCTCCAGACTCCACTTCCCGCAGCCTAGCCGTTGGTTTAGAATCCCGAACCCCGGGGGAGGTGTTCCGCAAATCTACGAAGGGCTGGCCACCTCCAGTGGTGTGTCAGTCTATTTCGGGAGCGTTTCCGCAAGCCCGCAAATTTTCCAGCCAACGGTCGTTCTCGAACAATGTGGCGACGCTCCCGAATTTCGCCAGGAAATGTTGCCCTACAGAAGTTGGGGTATTTCTTTCCGAACGAGCCAACTTCGTTTTCGCCCATTTATTCGTGAGCAACCGAGTCGCTCCGCCACTCAGAGCAGCCACCACGCGCTTTCTTTCCGCAGTAGTTTTGGGCCGCACTGCGCAAAACCACCGCTCCCTCAGCCGCCGCTGAACCAACCTCGGGATTGGCTGGCATGGCTCTGCGCTGAGCTGAACCCTCTGCTGGAGAAAGAAAATCTTCAGTTCAGGAAACCGACACAGCAGACTATCAAACCTTTAGTCGCCCTTGCAAACCGAACTAAACCGTTCTAACTTTTGTAAATCCAACTGGAAGGTCTGAGTGCACACATTTCAGCGGAGCCCTACCAGCCTTCTTTCCTTTCCAGCCATTCCCAGTTTCCACTGCCTGTTTGCGTCCAGTGTAGGCAGATCCGTGCACTATTGTTGGCCTGTTCGCCTGTTCGCCTGTTCTCCATCGCCGATTAGCGGAATTCACTTAGCAGAGATTATTCCGGTCGTTGTTTGCGGTGTCGACAGTCCGCTTCCGCTTTCCCGGCTAGCAGCGACCATTTCCGCCGTCAGCAGCGATTTATCCCCGGCTCTATAATTTATGGCCGTTAGCTGAGCGATTTCGTCCGTCATCAACGATTTCGGCAATTTCGTGCGTCATTGACCCGTTCGTCGTCAGCAGAAACATTTCGCCGTCAGAAGCAACAATTTTGCCGTCAGAAGCAACGATTTTGCCGTCAGAAGCAACGATTTCGCCGTCAGAAGCAACATTTTCCAGTCAGAAGCAACGATTTCGGCGTCAGAAGCAACGATTTCGCGCTGTCAGAACCAACGATTTCGCCGTCAGAAGCAACGATGTCGCTGGCATCAGGATCTCAGCGTTTTAGAGTCTCCGCTGCGCCTTCCGTCGGTCAACCTCCCGGGTACGTTTCGCCATGAGCTGCAATCGCGTGTTTCCGTTTTCCGTGTGCTTGTTCTGACCTGCCGTCGCGAGTTTCTCTCAGCTAACACCCATTTCTTTCTCTCCGTGCAGGCCGCACAAATATACCGTGTTCCACGACTCCCCATTCGTTCGCATCAAGCATGGCGATTCGCAATCCGTTCGCATCAAGCATGGCCATTCGCCATTCGTTCGCATCAAGCATGGGCATTCGCCATCCGTTCGCCATCAAGCATGACAAAACTCGAGGTTAGTCGCTCCGTCGCCCGAACCAAGCCATGCTGTTTGCTCCCCGCCGTTCCGCCAATCGCTGTTTTTCCGCCCTTCAAACTCCACTGCATCTCACCGTCGTACCTCACTATGTTGTATCGCCCCTTGGACGACTCGCCTCGCATTCAACCATTCACGCCTTATATTCCGAAGAGGTCAGATGGTAAACGCCTCTCCCGTTCTCCTTTTTCTCTCTCTTTGTGGGCCGCCCTCCTGGCAGCAGGAGGCAGGGAGCAGCAGCAAGGGGGCGACATGGAGCAGAGGCGCAGCAGCATCCATGCCTCCACTCCCCTCTCACCCTCGCCGCAGCTAAGTACCACGCCCTTAGCTGCTCTCTGCCTATCGTGCTTGCACCCTGCATCCCTGTTAGCTGAATTACTGCTCTGTGCGCCGCCCAAGAGACCTCACTCCCCCAAGGTAGCAGGTGCATTGTTTTCACTACGGCCTCAGGTATTCGGTATAGTCTGGTTCAGCTGGTAAGAGGTCTCCTGGGTGTGCCACTGCAGCAGTCCAATTATGCATGCATCATTACTGCACTAGTTGCACCGTTCACTCTCACTCTTTTCTACTCCGTTTCGCGCCTGTTCACTCATTGTCCTCCCAACTCCCACTCTTCCCCCTTCACTCCCCCGTCCTCTCCTCCCCCTCCTCGCTTCCTCTCTGTGTCCCGATCCTCCCCGACTCGTCTCAGGTGGTCACTCAGACGGCAGTGGCAGTGGCGGGGGACATGGAGTGCATATGCAGCAGCTGCTCTCCACCCAGCTATGCACAGCTAAGTGTTCCGCCTGCCTCTCTTCTCCCAACCCACCCACATGTGTTGTTTTCATGTCTTGCCACCACGTTCCTCCTTTGTTGCCTTGTGCCACGCCCAAGAGACCTCTCTCCCCCAAGGTAGTAGGTTCAAAGCTTTGGTACAGCCTCAGGTGTTTCAGGTGAGTCTGGTTCAGCTCGAGGTCTCTTGGTGTGTCACAGGGCAGTAAAGCAGTCCATTAGTGCGCGCATCATTCTTGCACCTGCCGCAATCTTTGCTTTCACTTCACTCCACTCGTTTTTGCTTCTCTCCCTCCTCACTCCTCTGCTCCCCCCTCACTTCCCCGTTTCCTCCTCCTCCGCCTCCTACCTTCCTCTCTCTGTCCTGTCCTGCCCCCTCCCTTCCCAGCAGGTCGCTCACACGGGAGTGGCAGTGGCGGGGGACATGGAGTGCACAGGCAGCAGCTGCTTTCCACACAACACCAACCCACCCACAGCTAAGTACCCTCGCCTTTCTTCTCCCCACTCTCGCACTTGTGTTGTTTTTCATGTCTTGCTTGCACCATGCATCAAGTTCCCGTCTTTACTGCCCTCTGTCACACTCAAGAGACCTCCCTCCCTCAAGGTAGCAGGTACAAAACTTTGGTACAGCCTCAGGTATTAGGTCGAGTCTGGTTCAGCTGGTACGAGGTCTCTTGAATGTGCCACTGCAGCAGTCCTTTCATTCACACATCATTCTTACACTTACTGCACTCTTTGCTCTGACTTCACTCACTCGACTTTGCCTCTTCACATACCACCCTCCCCACTCCTCTGCTCCCCCTTCATACCCCCTCTCCTCTCCTTCCCCACCTCCCTTCCTCTCTCTGTCCCGATCTGCCCCTTCTCGTCCCAGCAGGTCGCTCACACGGGAGTGGCAGTGGCGGGGAACATGGAGTGCACAGGCAGCTTCTTTCCACACAACACCAACCCACCCACAGCTAAGTACCTTGACTGCCCGAAACCTTGACTGCCTGCATCCTTGACTGCCTGAAACCTTGACGGACTGAATCCTTGACTGCCTGAAAGCTTGACTGCCTGAAACCTTGACTGACTGAATCCTTGACGGACTGAATCCTTGACTGCCTGAATCCTTGACTGCCTGAATCCTTGACGGACTGAATCCTTGACTGCCTGAAACCTTGAGTGCCTGAAACCTTGACGGACTGAATCCTTGACTGCCTGAAAGCTTGACTGCCTGAAACCTTGACTGCCTGAAACCTTGACTGCCTGAAACCTTGACGGACTGAATCGTTGACTGCCTGAAACCTTGACTGCCTGAAACCTTGACTGACTGAATCCTTGACGGACTGAATCCTTGACTGCCTGAATCCTTGACTGCCTGAATCCTTGACTGACTGAATCCTTGACTGCCTGAAACCTTGACTGCCTGAAACCTTGACGGACTGAATCCTTGACTGCCTGAAACCTTGACTGCCTGAAACCTTGGCTGCCTGAAATCTTGACTGCCTGAATCCCTTGACGGACTGAATCCTTGACTGCCTGAAAGCTTGACTGCCTGAAACCTTGACGGACTGAATCCTTGACTGCCATAAACCTTGACTGCCTGAAACCTTGACTGACTGAATCCTTGACGAACTGAATCCTTGACTGCCTGAACCTTGACTAACTGAAACCTTGACGGACTGAATCCTTGAAGAACTGAATCCTTGACTGCCTGAAACCTTGACTGCATGAAACACGGAACAGCAGCAGGAAGGCGACATAGAGCAGAGAAGCTGCAGCAGCCGTGCCTCTAATCCCCTCTCACCCTAAAGTGGCCCGCTCTCGTCCCTTCCTGCCCTCTGTCACACTCAAGAGACCTCCCTCCCCCAAGGTAGCAGGGTAGCAGGTACGTGCTCAGGTATTTGGTTTAGTGTGGTTCAGCTGGTATGAGGTCTCTTGGGTGTGCCACTGCAGCACTCCCATTCATGCACGCATCGTTCTTGCGATTTCCTTCTTGCTTCGTTCTCACTTTAATCGCTCGTTTTTGCCTC